TTGTAGCGCATTAATTATCGCACATTTCCGCTTTCAGTCTGTTAACGGCACGTTCCTTGACCATCCAATAATCTCGATATTTAATCTCTGTTTCAACGCATCCCAATTCTTGAATAGTAAGTTCCTCTTCACACCGACTTCTCATGCCTTGCAGTTGAAAATGATAATCAGCTAGTAAACTAATCAAATAACAAAAATAAATATCACCATTATGAGTACTGCTACAAACAATATCAAAATTCAAGCGATAGTTGTGTTAAATTCACATACCGATAAAACAAACGCTTTAACCAACACATCTTCCACAACATAGGACCATCTTCAGTAACTTCAGAGCCACATCAGCATTGTGTTTTTGTTTTTCGGAATTTAATTCTTCCGTTCGTAGCGCATTAATTATCGTAGATTTCCGCTTTCAGTCTGTTAACGGCACGTTCCTTGACCCATCCAATAATCTCGATATTCAATCTCTGGTTCAACGCGTCCCAATTCTGGAATTGAAGTTGCCCTTCCCACCGACGTCTCATGCATTGGGGTTGAAAAAGTGATAACCAACTAGTAAACTAATCGAATAACAAAAATAAATATCACCATTATGGGTACTGCTACAAATTCAAGCGGTATCGCATTAAATTCACATACCGAATAAACAAATGCTTTAACTAGCACATCTTCCACAAATATAGAGACATCTTCAGTAACTCCAGAGATTATCACCGAAAACGCCTTTCCTACGTCCGGTACGAAATGTTCAAGTAATAGTACGACGATCAAAAATCGAATCTTCGTCGTTGCGCACGAAAGATGGTCGTCTTCGTCAACAGCCACTCTTCCCGATATCGTAAACCTTCCAGAAAGAAGACATTCTCAAAAATAAAGAACGTAAAGCAAAGGCGAGTACGGAAATCAGGCAGCACACTGAGTCACGTCCCGCAATACCAATTAACCAAAAAAGAGCGTCTAGTATTTCCATTTCTTCCTGGTGTGGTAGACGTTTGTAAGTGTTACATCAAAAGACGGTTCTGGCAAAGAGCCAAGCGTAGCCGAGATCCGAATAATATACCTTGATAATAAGAATACGCGATCGATCACAATATAAAATGATCATAATATAATATTGCTAAGGACCGTCAAGGCACCATAAATAGCGCTTACATTCGTTCGCTCTGCTCTTATTCTTTCTCTTAGATAATGATAAAATATCGTAGAGTGTTCGATCTATGGAATTGACAGCATCGTTGCCAGTGTTTGCGTATAAAATTCTGAGCTAGATACTTGGTGTTATCGGTACAATTAACACGCCATGCGGGCATCTACGGCGTAAACGCAATTATCACCGCACATCGGTCAATCCGATCTTTCCTCAATGGCTGGCGTTCGTTCGGATAGATGGAAATGTAGCATCTTTCTTTCATGCTCACGGCGGTATCTGGAGTGTGTCACATGTTGGGTATATCGATTTGAATCGATCATAATAGGAGGTCTTGTAATGCGCGTACGTCATTCCGTAGCCTTGGAAATACCAACAATCGTTCATCTACGCTTGTTAAGATCGCCTTTCTCGTTCCCAATTGATACGAGGTGGGTGGAAATGGAAATCCAGCCTGTAAAGGAGGGCATGTTTCGGTCGATCCGATCTTTCTCAATGGCTCGCGTT